TGCAAGTGAGTTTGCATTTTCTGTCATAAAACTGACTGCTTCTGTTGTGATGAAATCTAAACTGAAATAGCTGGAATTACCGGCAGATTGTTCAGTGGTGATTACTAGTTTTCTGAACACAAAATAACAATAACATCCTGTCTAAAATGGACAATCAGTGTTTGGTTTTCACCATTATGAATTTTGTCCTTGTTTCTCGAGGTTGAACTGCTAAAAGAAGCTACTTAAAGAAATTAATCTGTTCTTATGGAGTGGAAGCTACACATCTAGAGTAAGTTCATTTTGATTTTACAGTCAGCAGGGCTTTTTAGAAGCTTTCATACAGTGAAAAGACTGTGCTTGGTTGACTAAAAAGCTGGTTTGCCCAGAGGTACATGAATCCCAGAGGCAGCGTTGACAATGATGAAAACCTGGAATAGGAAGTGCCGTCAGATGCGACAACTGACGATTGTTTCAAATCCACTCTTTTGAGTCATTAACGCTGTTTTTCTGAGGTTTCTTTTAGGGATGGGCACTGATTTTCAAATATTCCACTACTCAAAAAATGTTTTAAAAAAAAGTTTTATGTGACTGGCGTGAGACACCATCCCTAGTTTCTTTAAAACTATTTGCCTGTTGTAATATTTTTTTATTTGGTTTTATTAAAGGTGCAACCCTGCCAGTCTGATCCTGTCTCCCAGAGGTCTGCTGTTGATTGAATTTGTCAGGTAGCTTTTAAGCTGTAATCTACAAATAATTGACTATTGTTGTGATGAAACCTAAACTGAAATAGCTGGAATTACCGGCAGATTGTTTAGTGGTGACTCTGTTTTCTGAACACTAAATGGCAGTAACGCACAGTACATGTTAAGGAAATAATGTTGCTGATTAATTTCTTCGTCCTTCAGGGCTGGATCGAGTGGTTGCAGCAAATCTGCAAACATGCCTTGCTTTAAAGGTGAGTTTTCACATGTATATAAACATTCAGTTTAGTGGACTGTTATTCCTCTATAGATTTCCTATTACATAATTCAGACCAATCATGTTATCTGGTATTTGAGCTCAAGAGACTAGTAAACAGGTTTTGTGGTGATTAACCTTAGGTCACATGAAAAGCCAGCCGTGTGTTCAGTGGTGACTTTAGATGAGCAGTTTATTCAACCCATGGTACATTTTCTTATAATTTTGTCTCTTTTCTGCAGATGACAAGAAGACTCATGGGAACTGAACATCGGCCTGATTTACACAGTGTAAAAAGCAGATTGACAAGATGCTTTGTATTAAATATTGTCATCAAAACAGCCTGAAATGAGCCATTTCTTATTGAGCCACCACTTGAAAAGCCAAACCCAAGGTGATGGGCGTTACATAGTTCCACCTGTCCCATAATATAAATGAGGACAAGTGCCAATTACTTATATTTTGCTTTTTGTTGCACAGAGCAAGTTTAACATTATTTAGATCATGATCTCTAATATACTGTATATCGTAATATAATAGATGTTCCGGGTAATCAGTTGAGAAATTGCTGATGGAAAAATATACAGATAGAAACTCTTTCTTATTTTGGGGCTAATATAGGCCCAGAGGCTGGTGCCCACAAGGATATCATTTAATTTTAAGGTGGCAACATGGTTTAAGGTTAGGTTGAGGTTAGGCTTAGGCAAGTAGTGGTTATGGCTAAGGTTAGGATAACTCTATAGGAAATGTAAGTCAATGTAAAGTCCCCACAAGGAATGAAAACATAGCACGTGGGGGAGTTCAGTTAACCTGATTGGGTTTCAGTCTTGACAGATCAACTCTGGGTCTTTAGTGGAAGTGTTACAAAATTCAAAAGCACAAGAAAAACTGTGCAAATTCACTGAACCTTTAAACAGGCAGTAAAGGCCCTGTGGGTGCACCCTTTGCTCAGTATTTAGTAGAAGCACCCTTTTGAGCTAATACAGCCATGAGTCTTTTTGGGAATGATGCAACAAGTTTTTCACACCTGCATTTGGGGATCCTCTGCCATTCCTCCTTGCAGATCCTCTCCAGTTCTGTCAGGTTGGATGGTAAACGTTGGTGGACAGCCATTTTCAGGTCTCTCCAGAGATGCTCAATTGGGTTTAAGTCAGGGCTCTGGCTGGGCCATTCAAGAACAGTCACAGAGTTGTTGTGAAGCCACTCCTTCGTTATTTTAGCTGTGTGCTTAGGGTCATTGTCTTGTTTGAAGGTGAACCTTCGGCCCAGTCTGAGGTCCTGAGCACTCTGGAGAAGGTTTTCGTCCAGGATATCCCTGTACTTGGCCGCATTCATCCTTCCCTCGATTGCAACCAGTCGTCCTGTCCCTGCAGCTGAAAAACACCCCCATAGCATGATGCTGCCACCACCATGCTTCACTGTTGGGACTGTATTGGACAGGTGATGAGCAGTGCCTGGTTTTCTCCACACATACCGCTTAGAATTAAGGCCAACAAGTTCTATCTTGGTCTCATCAGACCAGAGAATCTTATTTCTCACCATCTTGGAGTCCTTCAGGTGTTTTTTAGCAAACTGCATGCGGGCTTTCATGTGTCTTGCACTGAGGAGAGGCTTCCGTTGGGCCACTCTGCCCTAAAGCCCCGACTGGTGGAGGGCTGCAGTGATGGTTGACTTTCTTTGACTTTCTACAACTTTCTCCCATCTCCCGACTGCATCTCTGGAGTTCAGCCACAGTCATCTTTGGGTTCTTCTGTACCTCTCTCACCAAGGCTCTTCTCCCCTGATAGCTCAGTTTGGCCGGACGGCCAGCTCTAGGAAGGGTTCTGGTCGTCCCAAACGTCTTCCATTTAAGGATTATGGAGGCCCCTGTGCTCTTAGGAACCTTAAGTGCAGCAGACATTTTTTTTGTAACCTTGGCCAGATCTGTGCTTTGCCACAATTCTGTCTCTGAGCTCTTCAGGCAGTTCCTTTGACTTCATGATTCTCATTTGCTCTGACATGCACTGTGAGCTGTAGGGTCTTATATAGACAGGTGTGTGGCTTTTCCTAATCACGTCCAATCAGTATAATCAAACACAGCTGGACTCAAATGAAGGTGTAGAACCATCTGAGGGATGATCAGAAGAAATGGACAGCACCTAAGTTAAATATATGAGTGTCACAGCAAAGGGTCTGAATACTTATGACCATGTGATATTTCAGTTTTTCTTTTTTAATAAATCTGCAAAAATGTCAAATTCTGTGTTTTTCTGTCAATATGGGGTGCTGTGTGTACATTGAGGGAAAAAATGAACTTAAATGATTTTAGCATATGGCTGCAATATAACAAAGAGCGAAAAATTTAAGGGGGTCTGAATACTTTCCGTACCCACTGTAAATGAATACCTTCATGAAGGGAGAACATCTTGAACTTGGGTACGATTTAGCTTGTGCAGTTAGTCGTGTTTTTTTTTTTTTTTTGTTTGTTTGTTTTTTTGAGTGCATATTGGTAATACAATATCTGGGTATATGTATGCAGAACTGTGGCTCTTCAGATTGCAGCCAGTCCTTGGTGTCTTCAGCTTTGTTTTCAGCAGTAACTTAAGACAGGTTGGTGTCTTTGGGTGTAGTGTTTTCTGCCTAGTTCATTTATACCTGAAAGTTGTTGACCAGTTTATCATTTATGAGCAGACATCTTCATTCCTGTAGATAAGACTGCAGCACAATCAAGAAACACAAGAAACGTGGGGGCCAGAAATAACTTTTAACTCATCACTGACTACATGAGAAACATACAAAATACCCTCTTCCAAATTAAGCAAAGTAAGTTTTCCTCAATCCTGAATTTAATGATACAAGAGGCTAATATTTACAAGTCAGCATTCTTATTTCACAAATCAACCTATCAAGCCCAAAAAAAATTCACATATCGTCCTTTTCACTCGTCACTAACGACCATAAGCACAGCTCTGTCCACCATGGTGTACGGCGGTTACATGACAAAGTTGGATATATTCAGTATTTTGCACCAGACCTCTACTGTTATATGAAGCAATTAAAAACAATAAGCCATACCGCCATTTGGTTTGGGTGACAGGGCAGGGTTGTATTGATAAAGTGTGTGTTGAGTAGCAGGGTGTGTTGAGAGAAATACGTTCAGTGTGCAGTTCAAAGATGTTTGCATCGTGTGCTGGACACCTCTCAGTCCTCTTCCTTCTCGATGTAGCTCTTACTGGCTGAGCGCGCCATCTGTCTGGCCATGTACCTCTCTCTTGCCGAACTCACAGCCTGATCTGTGCTGCGTTTTGCAAACTTGTTTACCTTATCCTCTGTCTCCTCGCCTTCATTTTCTTTTCTCTGTGCTCCAGCTTCTTCCTTTTCCAGACCTTTGTCTTCCCCCCTCACTGCCTTCTCCTCCTCTGGTTCCTTCCTTCTCTCCTCCTCTGGTTCCTTCCTTCTCTCCTTCTCTTCCTCCCGATCTTTGTCCTTCCACTTGTCTTCAGCTGAATTCCTCTGCTTCTCACTTTCCCCATTCTTATTCCTCTCTTTCTCTTTAGGGCTTCTCTCCCTCTTCCAGTGCCTGTCTTCCCTCTCTGTACCCCCCCTGCCTCTACTTCTGTCATCTTCCCTGCCTCGGTCTCTGTCCCTGTCTTTCTTTCTATCCCTGTCATCTCTTCTTCCACTATATCTGTCATCCTTTTCCCTTCTCTTGTCTCTATCTTTATCCCTCCCTCTGTCTCTATCCCTCTCCCTGTCTCTGTCTAGATGCCTGTGGCTCTTTTTATGTCTGTCTCTCTCCCTCTCTCTCTCTTTTGCCTTATCTTCTTCGCTGCCTGACGAAGGTGACCTCTGTCTGTACTGGCGTTTTGAGTGTGTAGAGCCTGCGCCGGGCTTGATAAACCCAGACTTCTGCTCATGCCCTTCCTCACTGTCGCTGCTTGAGCTTGGAATATTGTCATGGGATGTAGGTGATGGAACAGGTGTAGTCCTCTCTCTGTCCTTTGAAACTGTTGAGGTTTGAGTTCTGTGGAAGCAGAAGCAAAGAAATATAATAAAAGGCTTAGAATAGTTGTCAAAAATGTGAGCACACTTGTGATTGTGGATGAGCAAACAATGCAGAACCGTGACTGACTGGTTTGCTGAGCGATCTGGTATCGCTTCCTCTCCTACAGTCTGATTCAGCAGGTGTCGGTAGAAGCCGCTCAGGTCTTTTTGTTTCTTCACATCCAAAGCAGCTACGCAAACAAACATAATTCAAACAGAAGATTTACATTGTTTCACATGAAGCTGTCTATTTCTTCAAGTCATGCTTGCATCCCTTAAAGGAGGAGAAACTGTACTTCTCCCACAATAAATTTAAGCAAATTAAGGCATCATGCTTAATCTCTACCAACCTAAAGATGATTATAAAGTGTCGGTCTAACCTTCTATCTCTGCCTCTCTCCTCTCTCTCTCCTGCTCTTCCTTCTGCTCCTGCAGTTTTTGCTTGTAGGCGGAGGTGACGTAAGCGTCTTTATCAGCAAACTTCTCTCCCTCTGCCTCTCTTTCCTTCTGGATCTTCCTCTCCTCTCTTCGTTCTTGTTCTTTCTTTCGGTCCTCAACTGCTTTCATTAACTGCTGGATATACTTTGGCTGCCACAAAGAGACGGACAGAAATACAAAAATAAACTAAGTTAATGTTCATGAACAAACTATAGGACACATTTTGCTTTCTCTTCACCAGACCTTAGAACTCAATATCAGCAAAATAGATGCATAACAAAAATGACATTACCTTTTTGTCAGCACCTCCAAGATTTTTTTTGTTGCTCTCATCTCTCTGTTTTTGAATGTCATCATACACTGCATCGTAGTCATATACAGTGCTGTCCTGCTCCAGGGCCTTATGCATCTCCAAACGGGTCTTTAGGCAAAGAGAAGGACAGGCAAACAGGAATGACAGTGTAAGTTTAAAAAAGGCATGGGGGTTAAGTGGCCTCAAATCAAATAGTCATTTTAATTCTTCCTCTCACCTGCTTCATCATCTTCCTTTTGACGGCTTCTTTCTGCAGACTCTCCCCAACTGAGGTCTTATGATCATAACAGTACAAAAACATAAAAATATTCAGCATATTTGAAGGGTCTGCTAAAATGCTTACAGATACCTGGATAATTTTTTTTCCTCCCACAAAAATCATTTGTTTCTTTAATAGTGCAAATACCTGAATCACATGCAGTGACTGATGAATGACAACAGAAACATTACAAAGCCATGTCTACATTGAAGGTATACCCACCTCATCATCTGAGTCATCCCCGAACACTGAGGGTTTTTGTAGATTTGCTGTCTTTCCTCCTTTCTTCTGTGACAAGATCAGCCCGTACCTACAGACAGTAAGGAAGCAAGGCTTCTTAAACCCTGTCCTTAATAAAAGTCCTATTTAAACGTATTTCACATGTTCATGTTATGTACAT